GATAATCACTCCCTTGCTGAAAACTGTCCAGTTGCTTCCAATCTTAGAAGAAAATCCAAACTTCTTTCAGTAGTTTATAAAGCCTTTCATATATGATCTTCACCATCTATGAATCCTCATCAATCTAGGCTCCTGAACTTCCACTGCTAACCTTCACACTTATAGTCCAGCCACACAGGTAAATTCAATTCTAACTTATTTTTGCTTCTTCATTATACATCTGTAACTTTTCCCCCAGAACTTTACAGGGCTAGCTCATTCCTTATGATTTAGGTTGCAGCCATCACTTGCTGAGAGAAACCTTCCAGGGTAATGCCATAATTACTTTCTCAAGTTTCTTTTTAGTTTATACCCTATTTCACTATCTCCTTAACAACTGGAATGATCTTATCTTCCTTGTTTAATTTTTATCTCCAAAATATGGACTTTGTCTGCTTTATCAGTGTATTTCCAGAACCTCGAATAGTTAATCAGTATATAATTACTGAATTAGTGAGTAAAAAAATACATAATCCCAACTCTTATCTTTCTGTCATTTAAAAAATATTAGTAAGGAAGCATGGAATTGTGAAAGAGACACTTACCTTGGAGTCAGTCATCCCTGGATTTAATCTTAAAGAACTACATGGCTTTTGAGTCATTTACTTGAGTTTATTTCTTATCTGTAAAAATAAAATCTACTTTACAGGGTTATTATAAAAATGAGATCACATATGTGGGAACACCAAGCAGTCTATGTGGCATGCAATAAAACTGTGGTTCCTACAATTTGCTGCATACTGGAATCACTGGGAATCTTTACAAATCCTGATACCTGTCTCCCACACCTGGCATTCTGATTTAATTGGTACTCAGTGTAGTCTAGGCAGCAGGAGTTTTAACTCTCCAGGTGATTCTAATTGACAGCAAAGTTTGCGAATCATTATGAGGACCAATTGTCTATGATTAAGTTAAATAGTATGGTAAATTAAGGATGAGGATTTTAGGGGCAGCACAAGTCATTCTTGTATTGTTAATGCTTAAATGCAGCTCTCCTTTCAGGAAGTCCTCTTAAGATTGTATTTGACAGCTGTAGATCTTACTTGGTTTTTAACTTGCTGTTTTTCAAAGCCAACAATGTATGTGTTTATCCAGTTATACAAGACACGTAGGGCCAGAGCCTAAAACTTCCTGCTGTCTTCTACACTGCTTAGGTAGAAAGATGGTAACTCTAAGACTTGATGTCTACCTCATACTGGACACAAAAAACACTCTGAAGTGGATTATAGAGCTAAATGTGAAACTAGAGCTTAAGCTTGCAGAAGAAAACCCACTGCTGTTGAGGTGATTCCAACACATAATGACCCTGAACGACAGAATAAAACTGCCCCCACAGAACTTCCAAGGGTGTAAATCTTACAGCAGCAGACTGCTTGATGGGATTCTAATCACCAGCCTTTGGGTTAGCAGCTGAATGTTTTAACAGCAGCTGTGACACCACAGCTCCTTCCAGAAGAAAAGAGAATTATCATTATGGCATTGTGATAGACAAAGATCTCTGAAACAGGAGACAAGAATCACTAACCATAAAAAATTGATAAATTGGACTTAATGAAAATTAAGAACTGAAGTTTAACAAAAAATCAAAATGCTCAAAACCTAAAACAAAGAGATTTTAAAAGATGCCATTATCCTGTACCTGTCTCTAATTTGCCAGTGTTGGATCTTGCCCTAAGAGTGACATGCACAAGGAAAGGTTTATATATGGAAGGAAATTTTCTTTGTTGGTTACCAGCCGTGAGAGGGGAGGGGAGTTAACACTGTTAGATAGGTAGAGACAAGTATTGATTTGGGTGAAGAGAAGGGCAATGTACCAAACGTGAGTGATCAACACAGTGGCACTGAGGAAGACAGAGAGAGGTACATGGGAGGTACAGACAACAAAGATGAACCCTTTTGCAAATAGAGTTGCTGTGTTGTCAGTGAAGACAAACATGGATATACAGGTGGATAGATGGGTGGACAGGCTGAACTATTAGGTATGTCTATGCAGGGGGGAGTGTGCCCAAGACCATGTATAGGGTTGGCAGACAATGTTTCTAGAAGTGTATTGTTAAGTTCTGTAAGAATTTCCTGGTATATAGTAGAGCTGACCAGGGACAAGGTTGTAGTCACTTTTTGGCCACAGCCAGCTACCCAGAGGGAACCAGTAGCTGGAACTGTGGGCTCAGGACCATAGTCGCATGAGACATCAAGCTCAATTGGCATAACATACTACACAAAACATTGTTCCACCTCCTACTTTGGCGAGTAACCACTGGGATCTTAAAAGCTTGCAAGCAACAATCTAAATGCAACAATGGGTCTCTCCTCGTCCAGAGCAAAGAAGAATGAAGAAAACCACAAAAATTCATGGAAACACTTAGTCTGAGGGACTGGCACACCATGCAATCCTCAGCCTATATGACTATGCGACCAGAAGAACTAGAAGGTGTCCAGCTACCACTGTCAACCACTTGGAGGGGGATCTATGTAGGAGATCTGAATAAACTAGGAAAACAATGTGGAACAAAACTCAAGACCATTTGAAAACTAAAAAAAAGGACCAAGTTTGCTGGTCTGATAGAGCCTAATGGAACCAGAGACTATGGCCCCTAGCTGCTCTTTAGGTTTGGACTTGAACCCACTCCTGTGGCTTCTAGCCAAACAAAAGACAGGCATATGAGGAGAACATTTACACTAGGTAGATACAGTCCTTGGAGAAATCAATCATGGGAGAAGAGAAGGGCTGTGTATGCACAGGGAGACAGCTCAGGGGGCAGGGGTGCATGGAGGGAAGGACAGAGGGAAGAGGTAACTATGGGGAGGATGTAGGAGGGGAGCTGTTGCATTGTGGGAAATTGTAGTCAATGTCATGAGACAAAGTGTATGTGAATTGCTGTATGCCAAGTGAATTTGCTCTATAAACTTTCACCAAAATCACAATTTAAAAAAACCATGTTTGTCAAGAGTGACATGCAGACCAAAGATGAACTATCTCTTGAAAAAGTGAGCTCCACGGAATTGTTTCTGTATTAAGTGATAATACAGTATCTGTGAAAAGTTAATTTTCACTGCTGTATTAACCTCCTAACCAAATGCATCATCATACTAATTTATACATTATTGGGATTGGCTAGTTTTCAGTTTGTAAAGGAGAAAAAAAAATGACACTATAGTATTCACAAAACTCAAAAGCCTAAGCTTATAAAAACCTTTATTTTTATATAGTCAAAAATTTTATTTTTTATAAAATAATCCATAAATATAGGTGCTACAGTATATCTAAATTAAAGTCTTTGATTCTGAGTAAGTCCTATTCAAAATTTAAAAAAAGGAAGCTACATACTGAACTTTATTTTAACGAAAAGCCCGTTTTTGCTTTTTAAAGTGATTTCTTTAAACATAATGCCACTATTTTCTTACTCTAGAGGTGAAGTGTTTTTCCATAATCCTTAGAAGATACTTACCCTACAAATTTCTTAAAACCAGTATGTTAATCTTCTACATGATTGATAAATTTATTAGTTTATCCAGAAATGCAACTTAATCTTACAACTTGAAGTAATGTTTTCTATAAAAATTGGTATATACAAAAGAAGTGTTTTAGATATTTGATTTCCTATTGATATTTTTGATACTTCCAAATATATCACTACATTTTTTAAAACTTTAACAACTTTTGCTAATGGCAAATTTCCATCTCTGCTTTCTTTAATTAATAAAAGAAATACATACAAAGTAGGTATAAGGTAACAGGTAGAATCTGAATTTAAAATAAAATAATCAGCTTAATATTTATAAATGAATATAATTGGTCAAGTTTTGTTACATAACAAAAAGATAAATCCTTGACAATGGCCTGCTTATTCCAAAAGTATTAAAAACATAATTGTCATCAAACCACACACATAAGAAAACAATTTATTCCAGTTATTTCAACTGTACAGTGGTCCTCATTAAAGAATGAAAGGAACAGAAAAAACATCTTTAAATATCTTTAAAAATGGAAGGTTTATACCGAGATATTTTTCTACAGGAATTAAAACAATAAAGCACAAAATATGAAAAATCCTAAGAAAGTAGCATTAATTTGTAAGGTTAATAAGAAATACATTTTGGCAAATTGAAATATTAGGTGGATCAGATTCCATCAAGTGTTCCTCCAACATCAGTAGGGGACTCTGGAAGTTCATGGAAACCAAATCAAGTGGGAAAGATATTCTTTATGGTACACTGTCAGCTTTCCAAGTCAGTAATTGGCTTTATTACCTAAAAGGAACAGCTTAATCCTGGAAATTAACTGCTGAACGGATGGAAAGGACTATTAAACCAAAAACAAACAAACAAAACCAACCAAACCCACTGCCATGGACTTGATTCCAACTCATAGCAACCTCATAAGGACAAAGTAAAACTGACTCATAGAGTTCCCAAGGCTGTAAATCTTTTCTGAGGCGGAATGCCTCATCTTACTTCCAGAATGGCTGGTGAGTTTGAACTGCCGACTTTTTGGTTAGCAGTCTAATGCTTTAACCCCTGCACCACCAGAGCTCTTCTGGAAAGGACTATTATAAGCCCTGAAAATTTATAGCACAAATGCTCTAAGAAGAAACATTATTGCCAGGCTAAGTCTTTAACCTCAAATAGAGAAATGTTCCCTATTAGAATTAGTCTTAAAACATACACTGAAAACACCGAAATACCCAGAAAGTAGAAAATAATGAGGGAAGCACATGATCAACATGATTTACATTTAGCTATGCTAAAAGTGTACATCCTTTATTCTTAAAAATTCTTTAAGAATGTTTTAGAATTCTTTAAAGAATTTTTTTTAGCATATTTGTTTTAAAATACAAATATCAAATGTTAGTAAGTCTTTACAGTGATTTTATTAAAAGATTGATATCCTTTAAAACATTTTTTGTAATTATTAAAAAGAATTTAGGAAAATTTTTTCCTAAAATAAGGCAGGAAAAGTATCATTGTCGTGAAAGAGCACGTGATCTTAAGGGAAGAAAGATCTCACTAGTGTTTCCACAAGTTGCTCCTTCTTCTAACTGCAGCTCTGGTGGCAAAGGAGGAGCCCCAGGGTCCCCAGGTCTGGGAAGTGTTGCTGAGGAGAAGATAGTATTTTCAGTTCTGCCTACTTCTAGGACAGGTAAATTCAGAGAAGAATCAGTAGAAAAAAAGGGGGCTGTGCTGGATTCTCCTTCTGGATGGTAGATGACAGTGGATGCTCGTAGTTTTTCAGAGAAATTACTCTCATTTGAATTTGATCTAGACAGGTTGTTTGTCGCTCCATCTGGAAAAGGCTCACAGTTGTTACATTTTAGTCCTAAAATAAAATTATTCAGATATAAATGAAAAAGTAACTAAAATATTGAGTCCATGCTCATTTTGTTAACTTTTTAAAGATTTCAAGCAAGTCATTACACAATCATAATTTAAATAGCAATTTATAAATTCTATCATAATCCACTTCAAATCTCATTTAACTTTTCTCAACAACCATGAAGTTGTTGTTGTGGCTGTTAGGTGCCATTGAGTTGAGGGAAAATTGCTAGACAGGTAAGATTTAGGTGAAGGGAAAGGCAATATACCAAAAGCAGGTGACCAACACAATTAACATGATGGAAAAGGAAGACACAGAAAGGTACACAAGAAGTATAGACAACAAAGATAAATACTTTTACATATACAGTACTGCATTATCATTAATAACAAACATTAATCTATGGGTAGATACATAGGTAGACAACCTGAATAATCACAGATGTCTAGGCAAAAGGGTATAAACCCATGACCATATGTAAGGCTGGCAGACAGTATTTTTACGTATGTATTTGTATGTGCTGTAAGAATGTCCATATACGGAGTTCTGGCAAGATGGTGGACTAGGCAGAAGGATTGCACAGACCCTCTTCAACAAAGAAAAGGGAAACCAGTTAACACAGACACAGAAGATAATCGTGGACCCCTGAGCCTTGAAGGGAAGGATACAGAATTGGACTAAACCCCAATTAGCAGAAGAATTTGCGTGAAAATACCAAAAAAAG